CTGTCACTGTTGCTAAACGCAGCGTGATAGTGCACTGCAAAACACCCAAGAATATCTTTGTTCAATAAATGCTCTATTGTCAAACATTTGCATTATTTCCAATTCCCCAAGAGTAAACACCATGCTGAAAGGAACACCCTGAAAGCTAAGGCCTTCTTCATCTTTTTATTCCTCTTCACTATTTACTTGTGAAAAATTGAGGCCCAGAGGGGGTTTGTGTCCTGCCTCAGGACACTCAGGAACAGGGGCTTCAAACTCTGTCTTCAGCCCCTAACCCAGGGCCCCATCCACTGCCCAGTACTGCTTCTACTTCTGAGGCTCCTCTACCCACTTGCACCTTGCACCCTGCCCCGGGGTGGGGGGGCCCATCAGGTCTGGGGTGGTGGAGCTCTGGACTCCCAGACTTCTAGCCTGGCTTCCCTGGAAGACCGTGTCCCCTCCATGCATGGTAGCATGGAAGCTGGCCTGCAGAACCCTGTTTGTCCCTTGTGTGCTATTTTTAGCTCTTGTGGGTTTCCTGTAGGAACCCAGTCCAGCTTTCAGGGCTCTGGGTTGGAAGCCATGAGCAGAGTCAGTTAGCAGTGGCCAGGGGACACTGTGGAGAGTTCTCTTCTGGAGCCTGAAACCTCAGAGCTCTGGGGGAACAAGGGGGAGGAAGCAGGGACCCACCCCCCCAGTCAGAGTCAGGCTGGGCTGGGACATCTTGAACTTAGCCTGGACTGGGGGTGGGGGCTGGGCAGCCTGGGCCTGTGACAAGCGGCTGGGGCCTGCTGGGAGCTGGCAGTCTCCGACCTTGTTGGCCCCACGCCTGGCTCAGAATAGCTCTGGGGCTGGGCCGGGCCTGGGTGGTACCTGTGTGTGCAAAAGCATGCACTTGCGTCCCAAGGCATTTGTATACACAAGAGTGCACGTGCACTTGGCACTCGCTTCCCTTTGTGTCTGGGGGTGAGTCTCGGTGTGCATGTCATGGAGCAGCGTGTCAGTCTGCGTCCGTGTGGATGTGGACGTGGTCTGCACACACGTGCAGGGCTGCCCCCTGACTTGTGCAACACTGAGGCCCTACCAGTGAGTTCAATCGTAGACGAGTTTGTCTGGCACAAGTGAGTGTATATGTCGCCTCATTACTGTGGTCCCGTATATGTATGCAGGGGGTGTGGGAGTGGGGTGGGATTGGGCAGGGGCCCGTGGCTGTGTGTTGTAGGTGGCCAAGGGCGGGTGGACCCAGTGGAGCTTGTCCTTTGGGCACTAGCCGGGGCACTACAAATTACCTGGCCCCAAGCCCAGGATGAGCTGGAAGAGAGGATGAGCAGGTCTCATCCCATGTAGCAGATGATAAAACTGTATTTGGCAATACCCATGAGGTCACCCAGTGAGTGGGGAATGGGCGAGCGGAGACTGGCCCCCGCAGTCTTCCAATTCCCTTAGATGTGGCTAAACAGGAAGTCTGAACTCTGGGGAGGAAGCCACCGGGGCCCTTCCCTTCCTGCTTGAGCCTGGGCAGCACTGCCTTTCCTCGCCTACAGGTACAGATGAGGAAACTGAGGCCCAGAAAGGGGAAGGGCTATCCCAGGGACACCCGCACAAGACAGATTCCTCCTGCTTAGGGCCCTGCCTACGCCATTTGTCACTGGCTCCCAGATGACCTTGCTGTCTCCCCATGTGACCAGGGACACTCTTCAGCCCTTAGCCCTTCGTCCTAAGCCCCAAGACCCCCTTGCCTGCCCACTCTCGTGTGCCAGGGGACCCATGGACCTCCCAAGACCCTGCCCATCCGCTAAGGAACCCCTGGAACTGGTCATGCACTCCTTCCACCAGGGCCTCTCTCCAGCCTGGCAGGATGGGACATGCCTGCCACCACCTCAGACTTGAGTAAGGGGTTGGTGGGCCACCATTTTTGCTCTTGCACTGCTGGCCTCTGGACAGGTGGCCCAGTGTTGCCAGTCACCCCCTGGAAACTGTGTGCTACAGGAAGTGATAGGGAACTGGCCTAGCAGCCAGAGGGGGACCAGTTCAGACAGCAGGCTCCTTTGTTACAGGCATCAGCCATGGTCCCTCCCCCTCCGGGAGGCCCTTGGGACTAGGCTTATGCCACTCTTTCCAAGGTCGCAGGCCCTAGTGCGGACAACCACTGGCTTCATGCTCTACCGGGCCATGATGAGACCCAGGAGCCGGGGGAGGGACTCCCCCAAGGTCACAGGCAGGAGTGGCCGCTCGGCCCAAGGGGTGGTGGGGCAGCCTCAGTTTACCCCACTCACAGCCGCAGGTTTCACAAACCTACCCAGCGCTCCACTGGCGCAGGCCTCTGTGCCTCGATGAGGGTTGAGGTTATGGGCTGCACCCCAGGCCGGCAGAGCAGCAGGATGTGTGTGGGGCGCGGGGAGGGGAGGTACTGGGAAGGCCCTGCCGGGCGGAGAACACCGAGGCCCCTTCTGGCTCTCCCCAGAGCCATTGCCCTGGGCTTGACTGGGTTGAGCGACCGTGTGTTGGTAGGGGGTGGAAGGGTCAAGTTCACCTCCTCCTCCTCTTTGGGTCCCAAGAGCCTTCGGACCCGGAAGGATACCAGAGGGAGACTTCAGGAGAGACCTAGGGCGCAGGGCGGACAGACGCCGCGTCCCGTCTCCTCCCAGGCGGCCCCCTACCTCGCGCCGCTCCCTCCTTAGCGAGCAACCCCGGGGGCGTGGCGAGTGGCGGAGGGGGCGCGTAGCGGCGGGGGCGTGGCGCGGAGGGCGTGGCGGGCGGCGGCGGCGTGAGGGCGCGGCGAGCGTAGAGCAGCCGGCTCACGCCACTGGGGGCACAGCACCGCGCAGGTAAGAGCGGTGGAAGTGCGCGCCTGTGGGCGGGCTCTTCTGCTCCGCGCACTCCTCGCTCCAGGTGGGCCCTTCGCCTTCGTGCCCCCTCGGGCCGAGTGTCGTAGTCTCTCTACGGCTCTTCGGTCCCGGCGACACGAGTTTGTCCGAACGTCCCCTCCGACCCCTCGGGGGTTCAAGCTTCGTCCTCCCTGCCCCGTGGTCACCCGTGTGGGTCGGGTTCAGGGGCAGCTCAGGGGCAGCCCCACCCTCTCTCGCCGCCCAACTTTCGGGGCTGGGCCCCGCGCGGGAGCGCATCGTCCCGGGACTTGGCCCGGGCCGCGGTGCAGGGTCTCGGACCTCACGTAGCCTGAGAGACTGCCCGGAGGAGGGGACGCCGGCTGGTGTAGCCTGCGGTGAGAGCCGCGTGGGCTCATGCCTGGTGGTTGGAAGAGGAGCCCATGTTTGGGAAACTCCAGTGTGTCTGCGTGTGTCTGGGCAGGGAGAGGTGGGGAAGTCGTGAAGTTTGTGACCCGACCAAGGGTGAAACAGTCTCTAGGACAAGAAGCTTCGAAGCATGGAGGGGCAGAGCCGGGTGCTGGGAGAGCTGGGAGGGGACGCCGAGGGGCCCGCTGAGATGGCTCAGCGCCCCCTTCCTTGGTCAGCCCCTGCCTAGCTCTCTATCACTGGGCTTGCTGGTTGATCAAGGGGGCCGCAGGGCAGCCCAGGAAAAATTTTCCACAGCAAGTAGAACTTCTTTGCTTGTCCAGACCAGGAAATACCAGAATGGGTGCCCTGATGGGGTGTGGCCGAGTGGCCAGAGGGGCCAGGCTTTGGAGAGGCAGGGGAGCCCTCAGTGACCTAACCTGGGAGGGACCCATTAAGGACAGAAGCCAGGAATGCAGGAAAGAGAGCAGACCTAGCTGCTGGTTAGACTGACCGGGGACAGGCAGCTGACTCACCTGGGCTTGCCTAGACTGGCCAGCGCTGTGCTTGCTCCACCCCTTGGTGAGCGGTAAGGCTGCCTGGGGAGGCAGGAGTCTGGACCCTGCCAGGAACTTGCTGTGTGCCCTCAGGTGAGTTGCCCAGCTTCTCCAAACCACCAGCTCAGGTGAGCTTGATGGGACTGGGAGCCAGAGGCCTGCAGATAGTGTGTCTGGGCTCTCCTGTTATTTTCCCCATATAGACATCATGTGCAGCCAGCTCTAAGGAACCTTAGACCTGGATGGAGAGAGAGGGGAAGAGGCCATGCCCTTGACCAGTGAGAGGTGAACCGCAGTGGGACTGGGTGAGAGAGGCGAGAACTCCTGCTGGGTCCCTCTCCTGGTAAAGTTCAGCACCGCCCCCTCCTCCCCCACCCCGGACATACACATTCCTACATCCTCCTGCCAGGCCTCACCCCTGCCCTCATAATGTCCTCATCATCTTCCAGAGGAAAGCGAAAGCTTCCTAATCTGGGAGCCACCAGACCAGACCCTCAGCCTCAGCTGCAGCCTTCCCCACCCACGGCCTCACCAGCCCTGCTTAACCTCTGGCCTTTTCTCTGGGCAGTGTGACTCAGTTTCCTAGGGTTAGAGACCCCTTTGGGGCCACAGACCTGCAAGGACCCCAGAATAGTGCCTGCAAACCAGGTCTGGAAGACTCATCCCAAGGGGCCCCAGGCAGCTCTGAGAGGTGAGGGAGGCTGATGACCAGGTCCCCAAACCCAGAGCCACTCTCCTACACCAGTTTACCCTTTTTAGGGAGAACTGAATATTTGAAGAGCTCTGATCGAGGGGACCCCCATTTTGTAGAGGAGGTGACTGAGGGCCAGAGAGGAGCAGGGCTCTGGATAAGAGAGGAGGGCGTGGCCTAGGCTGAACAGCTGGGCGGGGCCCCAGCGGTCCTGTGGGAGTAGCTGAGGTCTGGGCCTTAGCTCAAGGGAAGGGGAGCCCCTTCCTGCTACGGAGAGGGGACCTAGAGCTCCGTTTCCTGAGTGTGGCATTGGTGGGGAGTGCTGCCAGGCCCCCAGATGAGTGTGTGGGGTACTGGTGTTCAAGGCATCCCGCCAGGGAGTGATTTCCTGCAGGCTTTTGGCTCACCCTAGTCTGGTTTGCAGTCTGCACCTCCCATCCTGGTTGTACCCTCCTTCTTCCACCTTTAACGACTGTCCTCACCTCTCAGCCCGGACCCCAGCTGCCTGCCAGCTGAGGGTGGAAAGGTCACCGTCCAAAGGGCCTCTCCATTTCATCAGTTCCTGGAGATGTGGGTGAGGGTCACATGAGTCGGGCTGTATTTGTTGCACTGCTGACTCCGTGGCTGGACTCTGCTGGTCTGCCCGAACTGACCCGGAGCAACCTGCCTCCCTCCTCCTGGGGCTGGGGGAGGGGGCTGGGGGCTGCTGCAGGGCCAGCAGAGAGATTAGGCTGCAGCTGGGCGTCCAGCCGCTTCCTCTTCCTGCCCCTCCCTCCCGAGGCCTCGCCCTCCTGAAGCAGCAGGAGCAGGAAAGGTGGGGCAGGAATGCCGGGCCCCGCGCCGGCCCACTCTGCCTCAGAACCAGTGCCCTGGGAGTTGTAGGCTATTTGGGTCTGGCTGCAGGGGGATGAGACCCCTTTCCTCTTGCCCGCTGGGTCTGCCTGTGTCACCTGCCCATCACTGGCTGCTTGAATTATGTCTCTTGCCCGACCCAGGTCAGCTAAGTCCAGAGCCTCAGAGTGCAGCGCGAAGGAGAGGCAGAGCTGGGCAGATGACCTGCTTTGCCAGGTGAGGGCACCAAGGGCCGGTCAGAGAGGGCTGTGTCCACTTGGAGGCTGTGGCTGGGCTTGAGCCCGGGTCCGGTGCTGCCCCTCCCTCCAGGCGGGAAGCCACATTCCCAGGTGATTGCTGCCTGCTTGGAGGGTCCCTTATTCCAGGGCAGGAAGTCCACAGGCTCAAGCCCACCTGCCCGTGCCCATGTCTTGAGCAGAACGCAGCCAGCGGGGCCAGCAGTTTGGGGGGCAGGGAGAGTCGGGCTGCCACGCACCCAGACCTCACCCTCCCACTGCTTGGCACCATCTCCTCTGCTGCTGTCCCCAAGTCCGTCTCCCCCGGTCTGACTGACACTACTCCCTTGCTCTGAGGTCCCCCATGATCCTTCTGTTGGCTGTTTAGGGTGCTCTTGGTGGGCCCCCCGCAGAGCCGGGGCCCTCGTGCCCCACGGGCCCCTGCTCTTGTGGTCCCCTGCGTGCATGCCTTGTCCTCCTCTTGGCCTTTTTATTTCTTGCCCATGCTCCATGGCTCCAGCAGAACCCTTCCCCCTGCCCCAGTCCCCTGGACGTCTCCTTGCTTACCCAGCCCTGTAGGGCGACAGGGAGTCCGGAGCCATGACTTCGAGAAGGGCTGGGCTCTCCTGACAGCATGGCGTTGTTTCCAGAGACTCCTTGGAGAGAGGGCTCGGTCAGAGCCCCTCTGATGTCACTCTGAGCCCTGGGGCCGCGATGGGTGTTGGAGGCCTGGAGCGAGCAGGCCAGGGATGTTCCCCTTGGCTGCTCTGAGTTCTGCCTCCCGCTCCTTCAGGCTGCCTACAGCCGGGCCCAGGTGGAGGGTGGGGCAGGGGGCAGCGGCCAGTCCAGGAATTTCTCTCCAAGGCCACCCGGGTTCACCGCTCCATTCTGATGGGGGGTGGTCACGAGCCTCGCCTCCCGCCCACGCCCATGGACCGGCCCTGAGCCTGTTTCTCCATAACCTAGGCCCATTCACAGGCCCTGAGGCCGGCACGCTGGCCATGTGCAGCCCGGAGGAGGAGGCCCTGCTGCGGCTGGAGGAGGTCTTCTCGGCTGCCCTTGCTCGAATCAACAGCGTGGTCCTCCAGCCCCTGCTCAAGGCTGGTGAGTCTCGGTTCTGTGATGGGGAGGATGGGGAACGCAGGAACTGTCCCTGGGATTTTTACCTCGTTGGGCCCTTTGAGCTGCAGCTTCTGATGGGGACTGGGGTCCTGGCCCCCAGTTGCTGGCTGCTCCTTCCTCCAGGGGACCCTGAGGGGCCAGGCCGTGAACCCCGTCCTAGTCCAGATGCAGCGGTGCTTGGAGATGAAATCGCACCTCCTCTGGGGCACAGGCTGGATTCTCTGGCTGAGTTCTTACCTTGCTGACCCCCAGACCATGGCAGGAAGGCGGGTGTTGTTACCTCCAGTTTGGGTCTCACTTGTGAAGTGACCTGGGGCAGGTGTCTTCCTCTGGGTGGGAGGCGCTGTCCCTGCGTCTGTGAGTGGCAGGAACTGCAGGACGCTATGGACTCCACGTTCTGGGTCCGAGGACGGCGCGACCCAGGGCATTAGTGTACTGGGCGCCCCTGGGTCATTGGGCTGTCCCTGTTTGGTGAGGAAGTGGGCAGCGCCTGTGTTCATGCCTCAGGGTGCTGCCCACCACTCCAGCCTGCCCGTCCCCTGCTGAGCTCAAGGGGACACGTGGGCTCCCAGTCTCGTCCCAGGGACCCCAGGGATGCAGGGCCCACGCTGCAGCTCTGGGCCGTGGGGTGCTGCTGGCCCTCAGGTGAGCGCCTGGGGCCGGTGTGCACCCCTTGGAAGGGGGGCAGCCCTGTGCCCCCTCACAGTGTGGTTGTGGCCCTGCCCCAGAGCCCTCGGATCCCCGGGGCAGAGAGTGCCAGCGGCTCCTGCAGCAGCTGCAGAGGAGCTCCCAGCAGCTCTGGGAGGTGACGGAGAAAAGCCTGCACTCGCTGCGGGAGAGGCTGCGCCACCCGGACACCATCGGTCTAGAATCCGTGCTGCTGCTGCGTGATGCCGACCATGTCCTGCAGGTCCACATGGAGTAAGACAGGGAGGAGGCACCTGGAACTGGGCTCTCGTGGGTCAGGGCTTGGGCGGAGGTTTGGGCCGAGTGGGGGTGGGGCTCGCCTGGGGCCAGCCTCACCTGAGGCGGGACCCACCCGGGCTTGGCCTCCTTGGGCTTGGGCTTGGGCTTGGGTGTTAGCCTGGTGCGGGCTTGGACATCCCAGACCGGAGCTTTGGGGCCTTACAGGGAAGGAAGATTCTGGGAGTTAGAATTGTCTCACTGGGTCAGTTGGGACTCAGGGTTGCCTGTCTAGGTCCTCAGGGCTGCAGCCACTCATTGAGTGGGGTTTGGGGACCCCAGAAGGACAGGGGCAGAGTCTGGAGTGCGGGCCAGGCCTGCAGGGTGTCCCCTGTGTTGCTGGCAGGTACATCGAGTCCTATACGAGCTGCGTGGTGGTGCAGGCCTTTCAGATGGCAGCGAAGCTGAGGAGGTGGGCACGGGGTGCTGCCGTGGGCCTCTGGGGAGGTGGGGTGTCTGGGAGGGAAGGGCTGGGGTGACCCCACCCTGGAGCAGCGAGTGTCACGCTCGTGACTCATCCTGAGCACTCTGGGCTCTAACAACCCCCTGCTCACCCACACCGGAAGAAGCAGGCAAACCCAGTGAGGCCAGACTCCGGGAAACCATTAGGCAGGTGACCCTGGGGCCGGGAGCGGGGGCACTCCTGCTCGGGGTGCACGGTTGTGATCACTAATTCACTGAAGCCCTGAGATAGCGCTGCTGAGTCTCCTGGAGGGCCACTCGGGCTCCGCGCCGACCTGCTCGGAGAGAGGTTTGGGGTCTGGCGCTGCTGTGGGGACCGGGGCGGGGCTGGGGTCGTAGCCAGGGCAGGGAAGCGATGGTGGTGGGTGCAGGGACGGAGGAGGGGAGAGTGACAGTGGCTCGCGGCCCTCCCTCCACTCAGTGAGTACTGGCGGAGCCAGCGGAAGGCACTGCGGCAGCTCCTGTCGCAGCTCCTGTCGGGCGTGAGCTCCGAGGGCTTGGGGGGCTCCGCGCTGGTCCGGGCCCTCTGCCAGCCACTCACCCACCACGTGCAGCAGTACGCGCACCTCCTGCAGAGCCTCCGGAGCACCGTCGGGGACGTAAGTGGGCAGGCAGGCGCTGCTCGCCAGGCCTGTTGCCTGTGGGGAGGCGGGGCGGGGGGAGGGGCACGGGACCCTCTCTCAGGACACCTGCCGTCCTCAGGAACCCTGGTTTGAGAGGGACCTGGCCACGCTTTAAGGACATGGCCTTGTACTGGAGGGGTTTTAAGGGACACATGTTTGCCGTGGGGTAGCTGAGGTTCTGGGCCCTGCCCTGGTGGAGCCGGCAGAGACGTGGAACCCTGCTGTGGGTGTGAGGGCCCAGGGGGCAGGCCCAGCCGGCGGAGTCATGGAACAGTCCGGACTCCCCAGCAGGTACTTGCGTGCTGGCTGCGCCCCGGAGGAGCTAGTGGGGAGAAAAGATGAACTTGGGCTTAGATGTAGAGCCAGGGCGGCCCTCACCCAGTGGGGGAAGGTTCTGATAAGACCCCTGCCATGGCTGCTGTGTCACCGCGCCCCCCCCCCCGCGCCCCGCGCAGCATCACCCCGCCCGGGAGCTGGTGGTGCGCTCAGCCACCCTCTTTGAGAACCTACAGCCCTTCCTGAGGCAGGCGCTGGACCAGGCTGTGGACACGCAGACCCTCTGGTACACCCTGAGCAGCCGGCTGAGGGTGAGTTCCATCGGGCCGGGGCCTGCGGGGTTGCTCGAGCTGCCTGCTGTACTCTCAGGGCCTCAGCGTCCTGACCTGGGAGCGGGGTGGTGGCTAAACCAGGTGGCTGCGCAGTCCCTCTGTCTGCCCATCTTCATCTATTTGCTGAGCGCCTCCCGGGCCCGGGCCCTGACCTGTCTCTGGGCAGGAGCAGTCAGCAGAACTGGCCCTCTCTCCTGGGATGTCACCGCATGGGTGCATCCCCACGTCCCTGCCTACCATGGCACCTGCTGTCCCTGTGGGCGGCACCGTTCTCTGTGTCCTGAGAGGGTGTGACACGCTCAGGCGCCCTGGGTAGAGTCAGGAGAACAGGGGTCTGAAGAGCTGCCGGGGGGCGGGGAGGACGAGAATTGCCAGAGGGAGGCGGGTGTTGCCGAGCCCCCGGGGAGACCTGATGGGCTTGGGTGGGCCCTGGCTCGAGGCAGGTAGGGGAGGACACAGTGAGGCTTCACGAGAAAGCGCGCTGCCCCATTGGGAGTGTCTGGGAATGGCCCTCCAGACCTTGGGGCCCCAGCACCGTCCATCAGCGCCTGTCACTGGTCCGGGGGCCTCCAGGAGGTGGCGGGAGTGGGAGGGGCGTGTCGGGGGCGCAGGCAGGCAGCAGAGCGCGGGCTGCATCTGCGATGGGTGCCTGAGCCCGCACCCCCCTCTCCCCAGGATGCTCTCTACGCCCCTGCTCGCCGGCTCTTGCAAGACAGCAAGGACATACCCGTGACGGTCACCCCGCTGAGGGCAGAGCGCGTGCTGCTCTTCGATGATGTCCTTGTCCTTCTGCAGGTTGGGTGGGGCAGACCAGAGGTCTGGGGGCCATGTGGGGCCCATGTGGGGGCCTGGAATCTGGCTGAAAAAGAGGGGAGAGAGACCAGCAGGTGGGAGTGAGAACTTGGGCTCGTGCGGGAGGTGCCGGGCCGAAAGGCAGAGGGCCGGGTGCGGGTGGCAGGCGGGAGCGGTCCAGAAGGGGCCTGGGCTGTGCAGAAGGGCTGCCGGGGTCTCTGCTAATGTCCTGCCTCTGGTTCCGCTCCTGGGAAACGGGATAATTGTGGGTGAGCCTGTCCTTTAGCAGGTGCCGCGCAGCTCGGGTTTCTTCCTCAGATAGGAGAGGAACCGTAGGTGGCGGGTTGTGGGTGGCCCGTGGTGGCTGAGGAGGGCTGGAGGACCCGCCCAGGGTGTGGACAGGCTTCTAGAGAAGGCTCCCATGCAGCAGCAGGGCCTGGGCCCCCGGCCTGCAGACGCCAGGGGGAGCTGGGCCTGGGCTTGTGACGTGGCCGGGAACCTTGACTTTGCTTTGTCCCCTGAACTCATATTGCCTTTGTGGCGGCCCAGCACTCGCTTCTCCGCCCCCTGGAATGTCAGTCTGGGACTGTCTTGCAGACAAGGGGAGATGCCACTTGGGCCGCCCCAGTCCGCATCCCCTGAAGCCTGGTCTGGGGGCTTGTTCTGATTCGGTTTGAGTCCCCCCCCAACTCCTGACTGTACTCTGAGCTCCAGGTACACTGAAGGGGTACTGTCCCTTAAGTGCAGTGAACCTTTTCCAGCCTCCGGACCTTTGCACGCCCCCTTGTCTCTGCTGCACCCCCTCTTGTCCCTGGTTGTGTCTGGTCCACCTTCCTCCCTCAGCCCTGGGCCCGGTGCCTCCGCTCCCCCTCCAACGTGGCAGCGGGGCCAGGTCAGCCAGCCTGGGCCCGGCGGGACGTCACTGCACAAAATCTCCCGGAGGAAGGGACGCCCAGTGTGGTTGTCAGAGCAGGGATGGTAGAAGGAACACCAGGTGGAGGAGAGCGTGGGGCCAGCTCAAGAGGGTGCGAGTGGAGTGGCCGCGAGGTGGGGCTGCGGAGAGGGCGGGGCGGGGCATGTGAGCTGGGAGGGCTCTGTGCGGCCTTGGGTGGGGGCTCCCCAGGGAGGCCTCCGTCCCCCAGGCAGCAGGATCCTTAGAGAGTTTTCCAGCAGAGGCTGATGGGCTGGAGCTGTGTTTCCAGAAGAGCCCTCTGGTGGCCGTGATGGGGCAGGATTTGGGGGTTGGGGAGGCAGATCCCAGCTCTGGCCAGGCCCTTGGTTGGGAAGGGAGCTGCGCTGGCGGAGGGGAACAGGCAGGGTGGCGAGGGACTCCATGCTGTGCACGCCGGACTGAGCAGTCTGGGGACACCGGGGGTGCGCCAGCAGGCCGGCGCGGGGCCAGGCCAGGCCAGGCGAGCAGGCGAGCGTCTGGGTGGTCTGGGCTCTGGACCACACTGGGCCTGTCTTCTTCTAGGGCCACAATGTCCACACCTTTGACCTGAAGCTGGTGTGGGTGGATCCTGAGCAGGACGGGTGAGCAACCTCCTTCAATGACACCCCAGGCCTTTCCTCCCTCAACCCCATGAAACCTGCCCGCACCCCAAGGCTTCGACTGGGGCCCTCCTCAGCGCCCTCCTGGATGGAACTGGGGCCTACACGTCACTTCCGTCTGTCTAGGTGCGCGTTTCACCTCCTTACACCTGAGGAAGAGTTCTTTTTTTCCTCCAAGAACCCCCAGGACCAGGTGAGTGTGAGCGAGCTGTGAGTTAGGAGGTGGGGCCAAGGGAGTGAGGGGAGGAGACAGGCGGGGAGAGGAGGGCACAGGTGTGCCGGCCTGGGGGCTCTGTGGGGCTGCCAGGCCTCTGGACGCTGGTCAGGGTAAGCCAAGGAGCCCGGGGCCACGCGTCAGTGGCGCAGAGGCAGGAACTTTGCGGTGCCCACAGTGGGGCCTGTGCGGCTCCGTGCCCGCGGGCAGCCCTCTGGGCAGGCGCTGAGACTGCAGACCAGGGGCTCAGGCCTGGGTGGAGGGCCCCGGGGGCAGCTGCCGCAGGTGGCGCCTCCTCCGAGTGGCGCAGCGGGGCTGGAGGTGGGGGCTAGGGGGCGTCATGCTGGAGTCACCCTGGGAGGCTTCCTGGAGGGGCCGCCTCCAGCAGCGGCAACCTGTCCTGTGTTTCCCCTGTCCCTGTCAGGCGGTCTGGCGGTGGAAGGTTACCCAGGCTGTGTGCCAGGCTCTGCGTGGGAAGAAAGACTTCCCGGTGTTGGGGGAAGCCCCGGAGCCTTCCGAGACTCCCGCCTGCCGCTCCCTGGCATACACCTTCCTCGCAGAGGGTCGGCTCTGCCGGGCCACCTACGAGGGCGAGTGGTGCCGGGGCAGGCCCCATGGCAAGTGAGTGACCGGGGCCCCTCCCGGGAGGTGGGGGGTGGGCAGGCCGGACCCACGTGGACCTAAGGGCCTCCGGGCCTGAACCAAAGGCTCTTATTCCTTTGGTCACTTTGTCAGTTCTGTTTGTCCCCTAGAGTTTCTCTTGGGTCCTCGTGGCTAGGACCTGGCCTGTACTTGGTGTATGCCAAATAGTCTTGGCGCTGGTGACAAGAGAGCATGGGGCAGACATCGGGGGCTGGCCCGCAATCTATTCCCAGGGACAGGGATATAGTCCTCGTACCTGGCACCGCGGGGCGCTAGAGAGGGCTTGCGGACATCCTGTCTTCATCGGTCCTTACAAGAATGCTCTGGGGGAACTGAGTCACCCGTTTTGTAGGCGCAGAAATTGAGGCCCGGGACGGGTGTGTCGTGCCCGAGGCCTTCAGGGCAGGGTGTCCGTTGAGCCTGGCCGCATTTGCAGGCCCGCCTGATCCCACAGGCAGGCAGGCTCTAGGAGAACGCGTGGACCCTGTGCTACAGCTGGGGAAACTACGGCTCGGCAAGCAGAAGGGATGCGCCAAGGTTACGCTCGCGAACATGTCTGTTAGTCCTGATATCCCGATACTCTCAGAAAGGGCTTGAGAAAGCCTAGGAGCAAGAAGACAGACAAAACAACACTGCATCCAGAGAGGATGCCCCAGGGATGAGCCTTTGGCCTGAGCTTAAAGTTTAGCTCTTGAGCTTCCTGTCAAGGGAAAAAGAGACCCTGGACATTTCCAGAGCTCCTCCTGCAGGGTGTGGTGACCGTGCCCCTTGAGGCTGCCGGGGCCCGTGTGCCAGGCCAGAAGAGGGCCGAGAGCCCCTTGGGTCCCAGAGCCCAGAGAAGAGGGCTGGCAGGGGGCAGAGTCAGGTCTGAGGGGAGTCCCGGCCTCCGAGAGAGTCGGTGGCGGACGCTGGCGGGGGTACCCCTGTGTGTGGAAGGATGGTCTGGTGGCCTGATGCCCGCGGACCTCGCCTGTGTTCCAGGGGAACGCTGAAGTGGCCGGACGGGCGGAATCATGTGGGCAGTTTCTGCCAGGGCCTGGAGCACGGGTGAGGCTGGGCCCGTGGGGGGACGGGATGTGGGCAGGAGTGTGGTTTTCGCCCCTGCCAACGGCCCCAGCCCGGCCCCATCCTAAACCCCCAACCCCAGCAGCACCTTAGAGGCCATCAGGTCCTGGTCTGGTCTTCGTACAAAAGGGGAACCAAGGCCCTTCGGAGGGTGGGCCGTGGCAGGAGTAGTCCAGGGCCAGAAGGCACGCCCAGGGTGCATGGGGGCAGGGTGGAGGGGATCGTCCTGAGAGGGGCCCTTGGGGAAAAGAGACAGGCTGAGCACCTGTGAGGCTGTCCTCATCGTCTGAGGAAGCCCCTGGGGGCTGGGACTGTCCTGGGTGATGGAGGGTGGCAGGGGTCAGGGCAGCGGCCCTGGTGCTGACTCCCCCCCCGGCCCGCCCAAACGGACAGCTTTGGCATCCGCCTGGTGCCCCAGGCCTCTGAGGACAAGTTTGACTGTTACAAGTGCCACTGGCGGGAAGGCAGCATGTGTGGCTATGGCATCTGTGAGTAAGTGACCCTTGGCCTGATGGTGGGTGGGCTCAGGGTGCAGGCATGTCCCCTGGGCCGAGCTCTGGGAGGCAGGGCCAGCCGTTGGTGACTCTCTCCAGGCACAGCACTGACGAGGTGTACAAGGGCTACTTCCAGGAGGGCCTGCGGCACGGTTTTGGGGTCCTCGAGAGTACCCCGCAAGTCCCTCAGCCCCGCAAGTACACGGGCCACTGGGAGAGGGGCCAGAGGAGCGGATACGGCATCCAGGAGGACAGTGACAGGTGAGCACTCCACGGTCACCCCCCGGATTGGGGGCCAGAGAAGACCCTCACAGAGCAAACAGCCTCAAAGCACAGGCCTCCTGAGGGCAGTGAGTCCGTTCCGTTTGTCCCCCTGAGCCCCTGTCTGTTTTCCTTGGCTGTCTCTGGGCTCAGGAAGCTACTCCGTTCCCTCCTTGTGCGACCTGGAGGGAGTTTCTGACCCCCTAAGCTGGTCCCATCTGAGCTGGGCTCTCTGGACTTTGAGATGAAGCTCAGGGTCCTTGCCTAGCGTTGGAGGCTTCGCCTGCTCCTTGGACCTCACTCCTGCCAGCATGCCTGTGCACCCCTCCAGCCTTCTAGACCACTGAACAACCCTACCTAACTGTTGCACACTCCTGCCTCCGTGGCTTTGCATGTGTGTGAATGGCACCCCACACTCCGTCTCTCCTTCCTGCCACCTCCCCCAGGAAGCCTGCCAAGATGTCCTCCCCCAAGCAGGCTCTCTCCCTCCACCTCTTGGGGGTCCTGACTTCACCTGCTCCTTGTCTGAGTTGAATGGGTTCAGGTGATATCATTGATCCTTATCTCCCCCCCCCCCCCCGCCCCACGCACACACGCATGCACACACATCCAGCAGCAGAGCACACAGAGGAGTATGGGAACAATTCTGACTCAACCCTGGCTGCTCTCCTACCTCCCCAGGGGTGAGCGCTACATTGGCATGTGGCAGGCTGACCAGCGCCATGGCCCGGGGGTCGTGGTCACCCAGGCTGGAGTCTGCTACCAGGGGAACTTCCAGGCAGACAAGATGGTGGTGAGTGGGATGACCCGCATGTGTCCTGAGCTACCCTCTCCCTGCACGCGGACCGAATTCAGGAGCCCCCCGTCCCCGCCCCGCCGCCCGGCTCCAGGGACTCTGAAGCTGAGCTGAGGCTGGGAGGCGGGCCAGGGGTGGATGAGGTGGGAGCTGGGCTCCTAGGTGCTGGATAGAGCCGGAACCTGGGCAGCATTCCAGTTCTGCCGCCCACCTACCCTGGCCTTAGCTAAGTCTCCGCCCCTCCCAGCCTCAGTTTCCCCATCAGCAATTCAGGTTAACTATCGTAAAGACTCAGTGAAAGAGTAAGGATGAAGCGTGTGGTAACGAGATGCCAGCAGGCCACACAGCCAACACGGAGGGACCCCTAACTGGATGCCCAGCTCCAGGCTCCGCCTCCCAGCGTGATCTTGTGGGATCCCCCCCGTAGCCCTGCCGGTCACGTCATTGTCCCTCATGTATGAATGACACATGTGAGGCGCAGAGAGGGCAGAGAACCTGCCCACTGTCACATTCCACTGAGAGGCAGAGCTGAGACTCTGACCCGGTCCCCTGAGCCCGGGCACCCAGCCCTCCACTCCTGCCCACCGGCGCCCCGCCAGGGCCTTAGAACCTGGAGGGGCTCTGGCCTGATGGCTGTTACTGCTGTTGTGGCCTGTTTGTTTTTCGTTTGTTTTTACTACACTTTGTTCTGGAAGGGAATGAAAGAGGAAGAAAAGACAAGAATGGGCGTATAAAATAGACTCAGAGATAAGCAGAACAGAAATTGTATCCTGTTTGGCTTGGAGCTTCCTGGCAGCCAGTGCAGCAAGGGCTCCTGCTCTGCCCCATTGTCCCCTCCCAGAGTGTGACAGGGCAGTGGGGGTGGTTCAGGAGAAGCACAGGACCTCCTGGGCCATGGGAGCAAAAGGCGGGCTCCCCAGGAGGCTTCCCAGGGAGGCTCCTGGGGAGGAGGAGCCAGGTCCCCAGAGTGCTGTTCAGGGCAACCAGGGATGAGGTCCTTGGGCGCACGCTCAGCGCGCAGCAGGCCGAGGCTGGCATCCCACCTCGCTCAGTCCAGGGAGGCGCGATGGGGCTCAGGACCCTGTTCCCCATGAGTCAGTGCCCACCTCCCCCTCTCCCACCGTTGCCCTCCCCCACGTCTCCTGGCCCTTCGGAACCCACTCCTCCTCCCTCCTTCCTTACCTAGGGCCCGGGGATCCTCCTCTCCGAAGATGACTCCTTGTACGAGGGCACCTTCACCAGGGACCTGACCCTCATGGGGAAGGTGAGGGCCAGCTCCCCTCCCTGCCAAGGCCAAGACTGGCGTCCGTAACCTCCCCCTGGGGCCCAGGGCTGAGGGTATAGGCAGCGGGGGGGGGGGGGAGGCAGGGGAGGGTCTCTCCCATCCCCACGCATCCCAGGGACCCTTCCACTGCAGAGGTGTGATTTGATCCTGGTGGGAGTCAAGAAGGGGGGGTGGGCTTGCTTTGGGCACCGTGGGTGCTGTTGGTCCCCTGGCTGTGTTTGCCCCTCCAGGCCCCCAGTTGGGACTCTGCCCCTCCACCCCCATTGTCCGCGCTTGGCAGGTACCCCGCAGTGACTGTCTTTCCTGCCCAAGCAAAAGGCAGCCATGTCCCTGATGGGGCCTTCGGAGACGTGGGGGCTGTTTGGGTTCCCTTATGGTTGGCATTTGAGTGGTGGAGACCAGGAGTGCTTGGAATGGGGCAGCCCCACGCAGCAAAGAATTGCCCCTCCCCAGGGCCGGCGGTGCCCCATGCCCTCCCCAGACCCCGGCCTACCTCTGGACATGCCCACCCCAGCCCCACAGCAGTGGTTCTCCCCACTCTGAGCTGTGAGTTCCTTTGTCTCCATTCTTCTCCCTGGATTTTTCCTCAGAGATGATCCCCTGGGAGATGGGCACAGCTCTTGCTCAGGGAGCTCCTGCAGAGGGGCGGGGCTTCTGCAGGGGGCAGCTCCCTCAGGGTGGGGCAGATAGAACTGGGAGGAGGGAAGGCTACCTCTATCACTGGGGATAGACAGGCATGAGGCCCGTCATAAATGGTTGTAAGGGCACCTGGGCAGACAGACAGACTGTGGGCAGACATCCCTGCTTCCCTCTTCCGACTTCCAGGGCAAGGTCACCTTCCCCAATGGCTTCACCCTGGAGGGCTCCTTTGGCAGTGGAGCCGGGAGAGGGCTGCATACCCAGGGCATGCTGGACACAGCGGCCCCTCCGCCTGACCCAAGCAGCACCTGCAAGAGGTGGGAGTCTCGCTGTCTGGCCTGGGGTTTCCGGGGCCTGTCTGCGGGCATCTTTGTGTCTGTGTTTCCACCCCAAGGACTCAGGTCTCACCAGAGGGGCTTTTCTGTGTGTCCTCTTAGCTCTTTGGAGAGTTCAGAGAGGCCAGGACACACAGCACTGAGGTCGGAGACTCTTGGAATCCAGGGCCATGTGACGATAATGCCACATGCCACAAATCGGACAAAAATATTACAAGTAGGCTTTGCTTAGACCCTGCATTTTTTCTAGGAAGGGTACAAGACAGCTTACAAAACAAAACAAACAAGAATAAAATAGAAAATAAAAATGTGAGTTGAGCTTAAAAGAAAGGGAGGAGCAGATAGGCCTTACAATGGTTATGACTGAGCATTCGTCCAGCTCCAAGTCCCCTGGCAGCAAGGTGAGGAGGGAAGTTTGCTACGTGGAAAAGGAAGACTTGGTTTTGCACTCACGAGGGCATCTGAGAGAGTGGGGGTTCTAATGGGGCGCAGCACCGGACAGCATTTCAGATGTGGGGAAGGGTGACTTCCTGCCCATCCTCCCTGCGTGCTGCGGCTCCCGGGCAGGAGGTGAGCGCGATGGCACACCCGAGGGCCATGACCCAGCCCGGGGGGTGCAGGCGTAGGAAAACCTGTGAGTGTGACGTGGGAGGGCAGTGGTCCATTAGACACACACACAGAGCCAGGCCCCCAGGCCCGTTGGCCAAGACGGGATCGAGCCCAGCGAGGCACCAGGCGTGGTGGGAGGGAGGGCAGCGTCTCATGGCCGAGGACTCCGGGACTCCGGGCACGGGTCTTTCTTAGGCCAGAGCTGCACTCTCTGGGCTGGGCCTCCCGCTCTCCGGATCTTTCTGTCACCTTTCCAGGGCTGTGTGTGGCCCTGTCTTTATTCTCCACCAAAGAGTAGATTCTCTCTGTCCCTTCCTGGCCTCTCCTTTCTCCTCCTGGAACATTGGAGGTAGCCTCATTTTTACCCCCAGTTCACCCACCCTTCCTGGGCCCTGAGTCTGGACCACACTGGCTACCCCGACCTCTCCAGGGGCCTGGACAGGGGCCTGCCAACCACAGCTGCATTTCTACCCCCCACCCCCCACCCCCCACCCCTACTGCCTCCATTGCAGGCAGCTGGGCCTGGGCGCCTTCCCCGTGGAAAGCCGCTGGCGGGGTGTCTACGCCCCCTTCCGGGACTTTGTACGTGCCGGCTGCCCCGGGGACCTGCAGGAGGCTCTGCTGGGCTTCCACGTGCAGAGCTCGAGAGAGCTGCGCAAGTCCCAGGAGTACCTGTGTGGTGAGAGGTGAGGCCCGGGTGTGCGTGTGCCTGTGTGCCCACGGGAACACCAGGAGGCTCCCTGGAGGGGTGGGCCTGGTGCAGGCGTGGCTGAGACGCTTGTGCATGGTGGTGCCTCAGGACCCCTCTGGATGACAGCGCCGGCAGAATGGAGGACATCCTGCAGGAGGTGCTGCAGCACCGGGAGCCCGAGGCCCTGCAGCAACACCTCAGGAAGGTGAGGGCCCTGGGGTGGGGCCCAGGGGGGGACCTCCTCACTGCCTCTGGTGCTGGCGAAGAGGACAGGTCGGGGGCCCTTTCTCCTCAGAGGGCCTCCGTGTTCCCATGTATGAAACGGGAGCAGTTCTGGGGGTCTCGTCTGGGCCTGCCAGGCTCCAGCCCCCGGCCCTGAGCATCACCTCTTTGTGGCCTACGTGCCGGCCAGGCTCTGAGCAGCTCGCTGCACCCCCTGGGAATGCTGCTCCGGACGCTGATGCTGACCTTCCAGGCCACGTACACAGGCATTGGGGCCAACAAGCACCTGCAGGGGCTGGCCCAGGAGGAGGTGAAGCAACACGCCCGGGAACTCTGGGCCGCCTACAGGTGAGCTCGGTGGCCGGTGAACAGCCTCTGCCCTGTGGCCCCAGGGGAGTGGGCTCTGCCCTTTCCAAGCATTGGCTCTGTGTAGGTGGGAACAGTGCCTCCCCCTCAGGTCTGGAGGGAGAAAGAACCCGAGGGAGGGTGCACCTGGTGTGCAGAGTGTGGGGAGAGGATGGTGAGGCCTTCGGCTGACCCCTGACCCCAGGGGAACTTTAACCCCATCGCAGGCTGGGCTGCGCCCCCGACAACCATTACAGATAGGGCCTGGGATGCTGCGTACCCTCTGTTGCGGGGTTCCAGTCTCCCAGCTGCTGAGGTTCGGGAGGCTGCGCAGTGCTGCTCAGGCTCCACAGTTCTGGGGGGTGGGGCCACCCACCCTTGGCGAGAGGCAGGTGGGGCTCCAGTTCTGTGGCAGGTGGCAGCCACACTCTCCTTTTCTCGTTGGCTTCAGGGGTCTGCTGCAGGTTGCTTTACAGCGGAAGGGCCAGGCCCCTGAGGAAGAGGAAGGCACAGAGACAAGGTGGCTACCCCAGGCCCCCCTGGGGTCTGCGGGGTACCCCTCTTCCCTCCGGGACAGCCAGGCTCTGGGTCCAGGGAGGCCTCACAGCTTTGCTCCTTGGGCCTCCGCCGGGGAAATGTTGGGACTTAAGGCTATTGACCAAGCATTGTTCGTTGAGCATCCAAGGATCAAAACGATCCCCGAGCTCTGTTGCAGGGAGGGGGTCAGTGCATCACATGTCTCCGTTCAGAGTGCATTAGCGCCCAGCCTCAGCTCGGCAGTGCGCAGAGGTGAGCCTGGCAGGGGCCAAGTCTCAGGTCACACAGCAGGGGTTACATGGACCATTGAATCTGTCTCCCCAGTCCCCTGAGATCAAACCTTCATAGTTGCCTTCAGGTTCCAGGCTGAGAGATGCTGGCAGGGTGTCCACGACCTGGAATCTGAAGATCAGAGAGACCTTTCTATTACTGCATTGCAGGAGGCCCGGGGAGGGGGGTTAGACATTAGGGAGAACTTCCCCCAGAGCCCCAGGAAGCACAGAAAACTAGGAGGCAGGACTGGGCTGTCCTGGAAGGGCTGCTGAGGGCTTCGCTGCCAGTCCCTTGTCCATTCAGGGCCCTGGTTTTGCTTTCAGTCACATGGGATCAAAATTCTCCACCTGCCATATGGGGTCTCAGAGTCCAATGAGACAATGAGACCACAGACATCCCTCAACTGTGCTGTGCCTGAGAACAGGCTTGCCAAGGGTTTCCTTGGGAGCAGAGGAGGCTGGAGGCAGGGACACTGTTGTGGGACAAGGAGCAATAGGGGCTCATTGGAGGGCAGCTCAGGCAGTGATCACCACCCCCAGCCCGCCACCCTGCTGACCCCAACCTGTCCGGTCACTGTCACTCAGGGACCTGCAGATGCATGGATTGATGCTGCCTCTCATACTGCCCAGCTTCTACTCGGAGCTCTTCACTCTCTACCTGCTTCTTCATGAGAGAGAGGACAGACTCTACAGCCAGGGCATCACCAACCTGAGCCTCTTCCCGGACACCAAGCTTCTGGAGTTCTTGGATGTGCAGAAGTAAGCCTTCCCCCCGGGCTACGTTTGCCAGGGCTCTTTATAGCAGAGGCTACAAACTCAACTCAAGTTGTCATTAGCAAAAAAAGGGGGCATTGATTGGCCATGTAGTCATGAAGTTCTAGGGTTATGCTGGTTGCTGGCTTCAGGTATGGCTGGATCTAGGGGCTCAACTGCACAATAAAGGGAAGCAACTCCTCCCGCTCTCTGTTGGTCTGTCTCTGGTGCCCGCTTATGATGACAAGCATGGTACCAGCCACTCAAGGTCTATATTCTCCCAGCTCAGTCCCCCCACTGTCCCCACAGGGAGCTGGTGTCTCCTCCCCAGCAGCTCCAGCAGAGCCTCCGCAGTGCCTCCCTGGCTGCGGTTTAAGTGCACCCTGAATGCTGGCGGTGGCCCAGACTGGCCAGGCCTGACCCAGTATCTACTGCTGGGGCTGGGCCAAGGTCACCTGCTCCTGGCTCTTGGACTGGGTGTGGGGGAGGGGAGATCCTCAAGGGGAAACTGAGACCTGTGACAGGGGCAGGTCAGGGCCTGCCTTCTGGGCTCAGTTGCCACAGTAGCTCCCCCATTAGCGCCCCTCTGATCCATTAATGCTGCCCGTGACCTGGACTCTCTGTCCTATACCTGGTCTTTGTTGCTCAGTGATGGTGTGTCCCGCTCATCCCCGGGAACCCTTTGTTCCCTCCCATTGTGGTGACTGTTTCCTGCATCCGACCAGTCTCCAGCCCAGAGGCTTGGTAGCCGATGGCTTTCCAGGTGTCTCTCCTCCGGCTGCCAGGTCACCTCCCTGTTTGGGGCCAGATGGATGTCTGCCTTCTCTGGGGAGCCCTCTCCGCGCCCCTTGCCTTGGGCTCCATGCACGTGCCCTGGTGCCATTGTGGACCCATTTCCTGCACTCAGCCCTCTGGGAGGAATTTGCCCTCTGACCTCAGACCCTTCCCCCTCCTCTTGGCAAAGCTTCCTGTCTCATTATTTAAATTTCAGGCACTTGTGGCCCCTCAAGGACCTCACCCTGACCACCAATCAGGTGAGAGAGTATGTTCTTCCCCTGCCCCGGGGTGGGGGAGGCCTGGGCCCTAAGCTGGACCCCCTGATTGGCCCTCTGCCTCGTGTTGCTGGCCAGAGGCTGCAGAGGACGGGGGAGGGGCAGAGGTGGGAGAGGGAGGAGATGCCAGGCTTCCCGAGGGTGTAGCTGGTGCCCACAGTGACCAGGTTCGAACACAGGTTCCACCTGTTTACTGGCTCTGCCACTGTTGGCATGGTTTTGGTCTCCGTGCCTCAGTTTCCTTATCTGTGCGAGAACCCCTGCTGCAGGACTGGCGCACCACACAGGATGGCCATTCGGAGGAGGCGGGGTGGGCTGGCCCTCCCCAAGCACTCCCAGCAGCCTCAGCAGCCCCCGGGAGGACGACAGGAAAGCAGATTCTCAGACCCGCCCCAACTTCCTGAGGCAGAAACTTGCGGAGGAGCGGGAGTGGGTGTCTCACCCAGTTCTTGGGTTTGAGAGCCATGGACACAGGCAGTCAGAACGGGGCGGCACCTGGTGGCCCTTGGCTGTTATGATTAGTATCTTTATTCATTTTGATTCTCCCAACCTCCTGCCGAGGATTTACCCCACTTTACAGTTGAGTAAATTGAAACTCACAGTGCAGCTGTGACTTGTCCTGGGTCACTCAACCCTCTGGACAAGGCTGAGCTGAAGCCACTAATGGGGATGGGGTGGGTGGCCGAGGAGGAGGATGTGACAGAGCTGGGGGACCGTGGCCTCACCAGCCTACTCCCCCTGCCACACAGAGACACTCCCTGGTCAAGAACAAGTGCTTCCTGTCAGCTACTGAGTGCCTGCAGAAGATCATGTGAGTCCGTGCCCTGGGGGGGTGGGAGGGTGGCAGGAATGTTGGGCGCCCCCCCCCCCCGCCCCGGTTGACGCTGAACCCGAGGGCATTGACCTGAACCAGCCACCCCGCTGCAGCACCACGGTGGACCCCCGGGAGAAGCTGGAGGTGCTGGAGAGGACCTACGGGGAGATCGAGGCCACTGTGTCTCGGGTGCTGGGCCAGGAGCATAAGCTGCCCATGGACGACCTGCTGCCCCTGCTCATCTACGTGGTGTCGCGTGCCCGGTGAGCTGCAGCTGGGCGGGGCGCTGGAGCTGGGCCCGCCCGGCCCGGCCCCGGTGGACGCTGCTTTTCCTCGTGCAGGCGGGGATGCTGAGGCCCAGAGAGGAGGGGTCCCAGGCTCCCACCGGGGTCCCATGGGTGTCAGAAGCCGAGCGGGGGCCTAGCCCCAGATGCCCGGCCTCCCGGCCAGAGCTCCTCCCCAGCTGCTCGGTGCCTGCCCCGAGGCCCCTCCTCTTCTCACGGGCATGGTGGTTCTGCAGAATCCAGCACCTGGGAGCCGAGATCCACCTGATCCGTGACATGATGGACCCCATCCACACGGGGGGCCTGTATGACTTCCTGCTCACGGCCCTGGAGGTGAGGGACAGAGATGGCCTGGGCCCTGGGGCAGATGCCTTCCGCCGCCCGCCCAGCCACCGTCGTGGGGATGAGCTCACCCACATTCACAGCTTGTGTGCCTCCACAGGAGGGGTCCCCGCAGAGCCCTGGTCCTGCCCTTGTTAGGAGGGGCTGGAGGGCAGCGCGGTGCCTCCCAGCCCTAGGGACCGCAGGGCCCCGAGTGTGTTCCAGGCCACATCCTGACCACACGGGGAGAGGGGAGGCCCTGTTTCCTGGCAGGCTGTGGTGAGGGCTCAGTTGGAGGCGTAGCAGTCCTGGCGTGGGGGTGGGTGCACGCAGGTATGGGCCCGGAGCCTGTGCAGGCGGCGGGGGAGCAGGCAGGGCAGCGGCGTCAGCCTCGCCTCTCTCTTGCAGTCCTGCTACGAGCACCTGCAGAAGGACGACATGCACCGGCTGCCCAGCCGCTGGGGCTCCAGGGAGGCTTGGTAGCTCGGCCTCTCCCGGACAAACTGTGGAGCTGAGGGGGCCGCCGTGGACTTCCTCTGTGGCGCATGCGGCCCGGCCTGGCCCTCAGCGCCCAAAAGCAGGGGCGGGACAGGCCCTCGCAGGCGGCTCTTGGAGGAGATGAGTGTCTCTCAGGAAGATGCTGCAGCAGCCCCGACTGCGATGAGACGGGTGACAAGTGTGGCCCCAGAGCTGGGGTTTCCCTTCCCCTGCCACTAGACCAGCCTCAGATGACTGTGACCTGCAGGAGCTCGCGCGCTGGGGGTGAGGAGCCGCTGGCTCCCGCATCCCTGAGCCTGAGTGGTGGCAGTCTGTAAAATGGGCTCGGCAGTCTGTAAAGGACCTTTCACTCATCTTGCTGGAGTCCTTCTGGGAGTCCTTTGGGGCCATCTCGGAAATTCTACCGTCGCTCTCGGTGTCGTTCCGTTTCCTCACTCCCTGTGAGAGGCTCTGAGCTGCTGGTGACCCCTCTGCCCGCTGGCCTGCTTCCCGGGAGCAGCCTCCTGGGACCTCCCTCCGTCCCGCCTCTGCTCGGGGTGAGGCGTGGGAAAGGGGTGGGTTTACACAGCTGCCGGGTTGCCCTGCCGCTCTGCCTCCTACTGAAGCAGGTTGGTCACCGTTTCTGGCTCTAGGTGTGCTACCCCCCACAGCACGAATGAAGAACACACCTCAGCCTGTGAGGGAAGGGCTGAGGGAGGCTCTGAGAAAGCCCGGCACACCAGAGCCGAAGGCTGGATCCCCACCCGGAGCCTCGGGGTTGGGGTTGCCTGGGGGGCGCCCACGGACCGTCAGATGATGTGGGGCAGAGGGCGAGAGACCCCGGTGCCTCCCTGCACCGGCGCCAACGGAGGGAGTGGTGAAGCTTTCTCTAACTGGCCTCGCCCTCTGTGGCAGCCAGAACAAAGGGTCTTGGGCTCTGGTTTTGCCAGAAACCCCCGTGGCGTCCCCATCATATTACTGGTGAGTGGCAGGTGGGGGCCTGCTCGCCACCTGTCCCTGGACCCGTGTCCACATCAGTGGGAGATGAGTGTGGAAACAGGCTGACCCAGGAAAGGCCGGACTGCGAAGGGCCCTGGACGCCAGGGCAGGTCTGTGGTTAAGACTGGCCAGGGCATCTGTGTCAACAAGCCGCTCACGTGTGACCAGGACAGGCACGGACCCACAGGGAGATGGAGGCTGGGCCAAACTTGGGCTGTAAACAGACAGGATGTCGACGTCACAGCCTCAGGAGAAATAAACAAGACAGCCGCCCTCTTTGTCTACTCCAGGGCTCAGGTTGACCTCGCCTGGGCGCCCGGGCCCTGCCCACAGCTGACAGCGATGATGCCAGTCTGGGGTGACGTCTACGCGCCCTGACCTGCTCCAGGGCACTGAGATCCTGCTGCAGGAAATGCCCCGCGGTGACCAGGTTAAAGCCTTTGAGCCAGTTGTGGTTGGTGGAGATGGGGTCCTGGAAGAGACAAGCACAGGGCGGCCCCCTGAAGTGCCCTGCAGGGGTTGCGTCCATCCCTTAGTCACCAAGCCTTCTCCCGGGCGCGCCCCCCGTGCCACGCATGGATGACAGCCTGGAACACAGCAAACGGTCCCAGCTCTCCGCAGGCAAGAAGGGGTGGCTTCCTCGCCCCAGCAGGCACCAGCGGACTCCCCACGCTTGCTAGGCAGAGAGAGGAAGCTGGAGAAATGGGTCTACAGCTTGCACAAGCGGGAGCTGGTGGTGTCCTGAGGGACCCTGGTCCTGACCAAGCCTCTGTTGATTCAGGTCACCCCCAAGGGTGCTGGAGCCCGTGTTCAGCAGTGCAGCCCCCTGCCCACAGCGCATGTTCCCTGAGCAGGGACCTAAGTGAGGGCCACATGGCCTCGGTGGCTGGCTCTTCCAGAGGGAGGGCTGCCCACCGTGGGGCCACCAGGGGGCAGGGACTGCCCCCTTGGAAAGGGATGTCTGGGGTCAGGGTCAAGGTCAGTGTTAGGGCTAGAGTTAGGGATTAGGGTTAATCCAAGGGTGGCTGGCAGAGAGCGGGGGAGGGGCGGCGGTCTGGTTGGCGGGGGTGTGGGGCGGTGGCAGGTCTCGCAGTTTGGGGGTGGGTGGCAGGTCTCGCAGTCAGTTGAGAGCAGTCGCGATGGTCTGGAAAACGCACACGGGAGCGGTCTGGGCTGCGCTTGGCCTGTCCGGCAGCAGGGAGGGACCCCAGGGCACTGGCAGTGATCACGGGAGGCCACGCGAGGGCAGTCGGGTCTAGGAAATTTGTCCTGGGTCGCCATCCTGCCTCCCAGGTTGCTAGGCCTCAGTCGGAAGTCTGAGAGGACGGGGGTCCAGGAGTCGTATTGCGGACAGCAGTGACAGTCAGGGACAAGGTTATCACGACCTTCTGAGGTGACAGGCTGGGCCAGGTGTCCTGTATGGGAGCCGAAAGATGCTAACGGTCCCGTCCACCGTGTCTGACCTTCGGCCTCGCTGTCCGCGGTCTCCTTCCCCACCAGCCACCAGCGGGACGGCTCTGCTTCCCCGCGCCTGCTGCACCCGGGCTTCACCCTCTGAAAGACCTCGCCATTCCTAGCCCGCGCCCTCTGGCTGGGTGCATCCTGAGGTGATTGCGATGTGCCGTTTTAGAACATTGCCCACTGCATGCTCATGATCGATGTCACCGGTGTCCATAGCTGCCCCCATCCGACAGGTGTAGGCAGGAGGCAAGAGGAGCCGCGGGTGGGACTCTCCCACAGCCAGCTCTTCTCTGCCACCGTAGGCCCCAGTGGCCTGAGTTCTTGAAGGGCTCATTCCGTGGCTGGTGTGTCTTGCAGCCAATGTGGGCCTTTCCTCACCCCACTCCCCACTTCGTAATTAAACTGTTAAATGGGTGGTACATTTCTGGGGAATTACCACCATTTGGGTCAACTTATTTTTTCAGTTTTTTAAAAGAGTTTTATTAAAACTCTTCATTTTATCTTTTTTTTTTTTAAGATTTTATTTTATTCTTGGAGGGAAACAGATGGAGAGAAACATCGATCAGTTGCCTCTTGCCCACCCCCAGCTGGGGGCCCAGCCTGCAACCCAGGCATGTGCCCTGCCTGGGAATGGGGCCGGCAACCTTTCTGTTTGCGGGAATAGCACCCAACCCACCAAGCCACACCGGTCAGGGCCATTTTATCCTCTGATGGCACCTGTTGTCTTTGGGGGCTGTGGGGCGTGACATGTCCTATGAGTGCCCAGGTAGCTGCCCGCTGCTGGTCCTCGGCCAGGAGGGCGGCAGCGTTGTCTGATGCATTCAGGGAGTTCCGATACATAGCTGGACATTTAGGAGTTCTGAATAGTATGGCCTGCGTTCACTCTGCCAACGGGAGTGGTGTCCTACCCAGGGAACACATCCACTGCAGTCAACGCCCAGTGGCACCCTGGGAGGGGGGTTGGAGGGTCTTTGCCAGGACCAGAAGGGTGGGGGCACGGGACTCTGCCCCCTGTGCACCCTCTGTCACTTGCTGGTGGGGCTGGCAATCGGGCACGGCAGCGCGGCTTCCTTGGCTTGTGTGCTGATAGCCCAGCTTTGATTCGTAGCCTGGTGCCGTGCCCTGTGTGATGCCGTATCCAGGCGGCCGTGGCCTTTACCTGGGTGACGCAGAATCGGTCAGCTTGGCGGGCCCATGATGTGCATGGCCACCGTGTTCTTTTCCACGGCATCTGTATGTGCCATGAACAGAGGGCATGGGGCCCGTGCAGTCTGCTGCCACACTGTTTGTCCCTACCTGGGTTAGGACTCCATCATCCCGTAGTCAGGTGCCAGGCTGTGCTGACAGCCCATTGGCCACTGACTACAAGTGGGAGAAAATGCAGCAAGGTGCACCGTGGCGGTGTTTTCCCAGACCAGCGCTGTGGTCTGCATCTGTCCATGGGGCAGGGCCTTTTCTTCATACACGGCTTTAAATAGTCCTTCCCCTGCTCGGCCAGCTGCAGCGGGACCTTGGTGCACTCAGGCTCCCAAGGAGTCCGAGGTGCTGGTCCAGCCCCCACCTCCGGGGTGGCTGCGCCTGGCGGGAGGGGGCCTGTCACCTTCCCAGCAGGGAGGAGGTTCCATCGGTGGCTGGTTTACTCCTTTCTTGGAGGTTCCATTTTCATTAAATAACGTGCCGGCTGGGACGCCCCACTTTATCCATTATGGAGACGCCAGGGAGGGACGAGGCGTGGGGCGCTGCTCTCCAATTGTCTACCAGCGCCCAGTCGCAAGCTGTACCCCGATGGGGGGTGCTGAGCGGAGCCTGTCAGGCCACTGCCACAACCAAAACACCAGGGGTCGCCTTTGCTGATTGCCAGCGTCCCTCCTACCTCCGACCCCAGTCTGGGCAACTGTCAGTCGCTGACACCTGACACCGGTCACTGCAGATCCCGCTTATCACCGCGCGCCCTCGCAAGCCCCCCGCGGCCAGCCCAGACGCACCCCTTTCTCAGGGTCCTGGGTTCCTGCCCCACGGGGCCCATCTTCCACGCTTTGGGGTTTTACTGTGTTTGTCCTCTTCCATTGCTTCCCTCAGCCCCAGGGAGACGAAGCTGCTTCCTCTAGTTGTTTAGGTCGTGTTTTGCCTTTTCAGTTTTTAAGTTGCTGGGGGCAGTAGGCAGAATAGTTGTCCCCCAGAGATGTCCATGACCTAATCCCTAGGACCTGTGAATGTGTCATGCTGCCTGGCAAAAGGGACTTGGCGGATGTGATGAAGCTGAGGACCTTGAGGTGGGCAGATTATCCTGGACTGTGTGGGTGGAGCCTGCGTGGGCCCAGTCTAATCACATGCGTGTCCTTTGGGTGGAAGAGGACCGGAGGGAGTGACCGCAGAGGGACGGCCCCAGAGAGGCCATGTTCTTGATGTTGAAGGTGGGGGGAGGGGCAGGAGCACAGGAATGCGAAGCCTCTAGAAACTGAGAGAGACACAGAAATGGGTTCTCCCTAAGGCTCCGGTCACCAGTTCTGGAGCATGTTCCCCTCCACCCCCTGCCACCAAGCAATTCTCAGACACCAGGCAGGTGTCCTGCGATTTAACTCAATTCCAACACCGCCTACCTGGAGGGAGCGTCAGATCCCACAGGTGAAGGGCCCGTCCTGCAGGACGGCCCCATGCCTGTCACACACCTGTCTCCGTCCTTTCAAGCCTGCAGGGCACTTGTACCTCAGGGTTGTTGTCATAGGGACCGCCAGTGGATCCTGTGGCCCTCAGACAACATCGAAGACCTCAAAGTGAGGCTGCTTTTGTTCACCAGACTACGTACGTAACCATGAGGGCATT